CCGCCCGGGTCGCGGTTGCACCCTGACCCCCCGCAGCCAAAGCCTCTGCCATGGCCCGACCAGGAGCCGGGAGTTTCTCAGAAGCCAGTGAGAGAACCTGCAGCGGAGAGAGAAGCAGGATATGAGCAAGACAACTACACAGACCTGAAGCACAGTGAAGAGAAAGGAGAGGGAGGAGGTGCCCCAGAACAGTGATTCCCCTCCAACATGGTAAAGGCCATGGTGAGGCACATTGTCCCCGTGCAGCCCATGAAGAGCAGAGCTCACCTGTAGCTCATGGAGATGTAGCCATGGAGGACCCCGCGTTGGAAGATGTAGCCGTGCCTGAAGGAGGCCGTGAATGTCATTGAAGAGACCCACGCTGGAGCAGCCAGTGGAGAACTGCGGCCTGTGGGAGGGACTCACGTTGGAGCAGTTTGTGAAGGACTCTCCCGTGAGAGGGACCCCACGCTGGAGCGGGTAAGGCAGTGAGGAGCTCTTCCCTGAGGAGGAAGGAGTGGCAGAGACAACATGGACTGACTGCGACCCCCATCCCTGCCCCCTGCGCTGCTGGGGGGAGAAGGTGGAGAAATTGGGAACCAAGCCTCTGGGTCTGGGAAGAAGGAAGAGGTGGGGGAGAGGTGCCTTTCTACGATGTAGTTCTCTTTCTCATTATCTTGCTCTGTTTTGGGGGGTTTTTTTGATTGTTAACAAATATAAATTGTTTCTCTTTTCCCAAGTCATGTTTGTTTCTTGCCCGTGACCTTAAGTGGTGAGTGAACCCCCCTGTCCTTGCCTCAGCCCACGAGGTTTTTAGCAAGAGGCTGTGCAGTGGCCTTTAAACCACAACAATATCTATGCATGGTTGCCTTTGACTCTAGAGATTTTGTTCAACTTTTGTAATAACCCACTCTGGTAGTGTATTTTTCCCTGATATTTTAGGTGGCTTGCAAGACAGAGACCTGTTCGATCCTACCAAGGAGGGAATACCCTGCCTGCTGAAACTCTCCCGAGAGTTAAATGCCTCCATGGCAGAAGTCAGATCAAGCAGCCTTGCTTCAGCCTTTTATTTCATGTTTGTGGGGTTTTTTCCCCACTAGCAACTCAGTTTAATAATTTGTCTGATTCTTGGCTGTATCCTTGAGATTTTTTTGGTGTTTAGAGATACACCTCAGGTTTTGTTTACCCTTCTGAGGCATTTGCAGTAGCGGTATCTGGGCTCTGCAGGCTTGCTGGAGTTCAGGACTGAGAATGGACAGAGGAAAATGATTAGTCTCTTCTGCTTTCCATCTCCTCCCTCTTTCTTATCCAGCTTGTCACTGCAGAACTCAACTAGGTCTTAGCAGTGAATACAGCTTCCCTCCACTGTGTGGCATCTCTCTTCAATGCTTGGAAAGGGGAAGAGGCTTCCATAAAGCCACACCAAAAAAATCCCTTTATTGTTCTTCTTGATATCATCCCTCCTTCAAACTCCTTGCTGCCAAGGGATTGGACAATCTTGAAGCTGTCAGTACCTTGAGGTCACTCTGTGTCAGTATCTTCTCACATTCCTGCCTTAGGTATATCTTTTCCCTTCCTTCTGTTCCTATGCTTGCTTGTCTAGCAAGCAGCCAGCTCCCTGCCTTGGTACTCAGACTTCTGTACTGGTACTAGCAGTGCTGAAGTCTTTCCCCTTGTCTTCGTGCAACAGAGTCTTTCATGTTTTGATGATTACCTTAATGAGTTTGATTCTTCCCTCACGTAAGTGTATATGGACAAACTCATGGACTTCATTATAGTGATGCAAGAGTGAGAGATGTCCAAAGCACAAAGAATGGTTACGCTCAAAAGTGACCGAAATGCCTGCAGAGTATCTCATTCAGCAAAAGGTTAACAAACCAAAATTGTCCAAATGTTACCACGAGAGCTCTTTGGTTAATTCAGTTTATAGACAGATAGTAATTCACAAAGTATTATTGTAAAGTGGAAACATTTGTTGTTCTGTAGCTGTGTGACAGAGTATGCAGCTTTGTGTACAGGTGATAACTGCTTATATTCACGATTGCAGTTCTTACATATGGCTGGTTCTTATGTCTGACCATCACTGGATAAATGATAACATTTTATTTATCATTCCTGCATCATTCCTTTTCATCTACAATGCTATCAGTCAGGTCTGTTTCTTAACAAAATAGGATGGGTAATTGTTACGTTGATGTTTGAGGGGAAAGGAGGAAGCCCTAGCTTTTGCTTTTCTGTAATCTTGAAGGAAATTTACCAAGTATTCTTATAAATGCCTACAAATGCTTGCGCTTTCACGGGGGGCAGATGGAGAGATTGATTATATTATACTATGCAAGACACTTACTTAAGAGGCAAACTGAGTTTATTAGGGTTATGCTGAAAAAGGAGTGGGATCTTCTACCCGAGGTTTCCCTTTGGGAGGCAATCAACGTTGAAAATAAGTTAATTTGAAACAACTAAATAGAGAATCTGAGACTTAAGATTTTGATTCTTGCATGACCTAGAGTTTTATTTCAAATGTGTGAAATATGGCAAGAATAAAGTTTCTCTGAAACTTTCTAAAGACACAAAACCCAAGAACCTTTTTCAGGTTTGTCACCTTTGTAGTAAGTATGTGCTCAGACAGTTAATTTAAGAGCTAATTCCGGAATACTAATTCTGGTATGTTTGTTCAGAAAAGTCTTGCACACATAGGAAAAATCACTTTTAAAAAAATCCTTTTGTCATCTTGTTGTCAGAATGAGATTATTTTCCACATGGCAAATGAAACTACTCTTAAGATTTTCTTTAAATGAATAACTTTAAATTTTTATTTATTTAGATAAGTAAAATAAAATAAAATGTTGTTACTACTTTAGGTAAAAATAATCCTATTGGAAAGATCACATTTTAATTTTTCATATTTATATTTTTAATTGTTTTCACTTCTACAGATGGGTGCTTGCTTTTCAAAAGTTTTCAATGGCTGTCCATTAAAAATTCATTGTGCAACATCATGGATAAATCCAGACACAAGAGGTAGTATATTACATAACTTTGTCCTCTCCCAGATTTCACAGAGTGCGTAGATGAGCAAGACTATCCTTTTTAAAAGAGACATATTGTAAAATAGGGTTTTTTAATGTATGCAGTTCTTTTTTAATTATGCCACTGCTGTCTGAAGTTCAATGTTGTTTTTTTAAGTTAAGTTACATGGGGCACAGTTTTTGGCTTTGATTAAAAAGAGTAAATGACATATCAAAAGTAAAAAACCTTTTTTGTTTGTTTGTTTTGAATCAAGACTCTTCAACATTTTAGTCCAAAAGATGCCGATTCTAATTAATTTTTTTAAAAAAAAATCTTGCTTCCAGAGGTCCTAGTTGAGAATGATTTCTTCATTACTCACCCTCCTCTGCCCCAATCTTTCTGGTTTGACAGGTTTCTGCAGCTCTCTTTGTTTTTGCGTGTATTTTAGTGCTTTATTAAATAGCCTGATGAGAGGGATAATTGCTAACATTGTACTCGCATTGCCTGCCATTTCACCTTTTGATTATGGGCTGTATAGACATGCTACTGAGCCAGTAAGTGAGAAAATACAGAGCTCAGTCTTTTGCAGTTGACGTCTTCTCAATATGAGGTGTTTGTCTTGTTTGCATGCCTAAATGCAGTCCAGAGTATTAATTATGTTCAAGAAGTGAAGCACCCCCAAACTACTAAAAAAAGTTCCAGTCAATACTGCTGTAGAAGTACTCCAAAAGAAGGCTCTGGATGTGTCACAAAATACATGGGAATGTTGAAGTAGGATAATCTATGTATGGTGAAATTATTCACATAAATTCTTGCTTGTGGTTGTATCACTGCTGGTTTTTTTTTTTTCCCATTGTTAGTCACCAATAAAAAAAAGACTGATCTTTCCTAATGTCTTCAAACAGCCCTATCCACAAATTTAAGCTTCCTTAGCAAGATTAATTTTCCATGCTTTCAAACACCATAACTGTTATAGGTTGGTTTGTTTCACTGTGTATAATTGTTTTAAGTCTTTTTTTTTTTTTTTTTGTAAAGAGCTGCATACTCTTAAGAAATACCTTCCTTAAATCAGGATTTCTAGATTTTTTTGCTTGTGTTTGCAGACCAGTACTTGATATTTGGTGCAGAAGAAGGTATTTACACACTGAACCTCAATGAACTTCATGAAACGTCAATGGAGCAGGTATATTTCTGTTTTGATATCTTGAAAAAAATACATCTTTGTTACTTTTTTTTTTAGCCACTCAGATTAATTTCGTATAATCCTTGTAAAAAATTGTCTTTACTACAGTTACCTAGGCACTTGCTACACTGAGAATTACCTTAAATGTTTACTGCTGAGGATACTTTTCAGTCGTGTAAGTTTTTTGGAGGGTGAACCGTGTTTAAGTGGGACATCTGCCTCTATCAATGTGTTGAACTTCATTGTAGTGCATTGTCCTGCAGTTAGGTGATTTGTTAATTAGTATGGAATTTCCGTGATATACATTGAGTGAAGGTTTCTATTTTCTTTAAAGTTATGCTACAAGATAGAATATTTGCAACAACCATTGTGTTTCAGCTACAGGGAAGCATGGAGATCCTTTGTATACTCAGTGCCATTCTCTTGATCTTAAAAGCAGCTTTGCTGATGAGACTCAGCTTACTGAATCCCAGTGAAAACTCTGTTTTTGCATAGTCTTAGAGACTGAAATATTTTTAGGGGATAGTGGGGAGGGGGAAATGCCAGTTGCAGGCTTTTCTGTATGGTGTCTTCTCCAGCTCTTTTGTTAATCTCTAAGAGACTTGTTTTCTTTCCTGCCTACTCCCTAACTTAGGGAGCTATGCATCTGCCATCAAGATGGAGGAATTTGCAAGGACAGCCTTCACACTGTAAGCTAGAGGCCTGGTGTTTGTTCATCTTCCAGGATGCAGACGTTGTAGATATGTCTTTCTGTTGAGAGGAAGGCCTAGCTAGCTTGCACCGAGTTCCGTGGAACCCATAATCACACTGGTGCTTGAGTTACCTAGTTTAAACTTAGCTCAGGTACCTCTCTGCTGTTACACTGCAGTTGTCAAACCTACCCTGAGATATATCACTAATACAGTAATTCTTGTAAGCCCGGTAGACCAAGGAAAGTTTTGTTTGTTTTTTTTTTTCTTATGTTTTTTGTGGGTTTTTGGGTTTTTTGGGTTTTTTTTAAATTAGCAAGGAGAATGGGCATAATGAAAGTCATGCTCTCATATCCACCTTTGTTTTCTCTGAGCACCATGTTCTGTAGTGCATTGCCTAGTGAGCTTTTAGGGAAATGTATTAATGAGCACGTAAAGACAAGAAGAGATGCTCGCAAAAACAGCAAGTCATGTGAGGAACAGGAGGAGTGAATGACAGGTCAATCAGACTGCAAATTTGAAGTATTGCTGTTCTTCTCTGGTCCTCAGATCCAAACCTACTAAGTCACCATATGCTTATGCAGCTGCAGAAGATCAATCAAACTTGCACGTTAAATTTGGATACAGCCAGACTGGTAGATTATTACCATAGGTTTTTCTCACAGTGTGTTTAAGTTATGAGAAGACTTCAGGAATAGAAGTGCACCCTGTCTGCTAACCATTTATTACGTTGTTATTTATTATAACAGGCAATAGGGCTTTAATAGCATTTTCAAGTTCTGTGTTTGACTTCATTGTTTGCTCTCTAGGTTTGATACAATTTAGTGTAAAAGCAGAAGTAGTATCCTTCGTTATTTTTCACTACATTCCACTTCACTCATGGACAAAGCAGCAATTATGTACATTTCCAGGAGTTAGCATAGCTTCAAGATGAATAGTTCGCTCTTTGGCAGAAAAATCTTTCCATTAATTTACAGATCTCTTCAAATTTGTCTAATAAACGAGCAGTGAGGTGTGGTTGTTTTTTGTTTGGAGTGGGGGTTTTTTGTTTTGTTTTTTTTGTTTGTTGGGGTTTTTTACTTGTTTGTTTGGCGCAGGAGGGGCTGTGTGCTTTTTAAGAGCAAAAGCAGTATCCTCCTGGGTCTTCTGTGTAGCCCATTGGTCTGTTTCCCAGAGTTGGTAGTAGGAAATGCCCGTGAGCTTGGCCACTGTCTGCTGTCTGTTCTCCCCAGACTCCACTACAGCCATTGAATTATGGGTGTTGGAGGATCCCTGCCTTTTTGCTTTTTGTGTCCGTTTGTGGACCTGTTGGGCATGAGTATGTCTAATCCCTCATTTACACTGTTGATACTTTCCACTTCCATGACCTCTTGTGACAACAAGCTTCAGAAGTTATGTGAGAAGGGGAAAAAAGTACCATCTTTTTTTTTTAATTATTTTTTTTAAAGGTTGTCTTGTTGGTTTCAGCCCCATCTTTCTAGTTGCTGCGGGATTTTGACGAATAACAATTCTGCCTTGACCACTCATTGCATTCTTTGATCACTTCAGTGAAATGTGTAATCATATGCCCCTGGAGAGTTCCTTCAAGTACCACTTTTAATTGTTTCAAGAGATTTGGACTATCACAGGCATGGTTTGTTGACCATGCTTTGTTTACTCAAGTTTATGTTGTTAAGCTTTTCTTCTTTGAAGGAGAAAGTTTCTGGTGGTTTTGAAAACTTTTGAAAAAGGATGGATTCATCTATATAATGACATCTTGTGGGCTCATTGTAGTACACTTGAAGACGTGAATAGAAAATGTGCTAATTGTCTGAATGTTAATGTGTACGTTAAATATAGCATGTGTGCCCAAAATTTACTCTGAATTAACTCTGGAATCCAGGTAAACATTACTTGGCTTAAGCTAATTTCTGCTCCACAAAGGAAGTCCATATTAGTTTTGTCCTGTCGTCTATGCAGATATTAATTGATCGACTGAATGTGCTTGCATCTTGCACATATCAAATTGAATGCTTTTCTTTCTTTATTTTTCCTTCCCTTTATCAGCTATTTCCTCGAAGGTGTACGTGGTTATACGTCATGAATAATTGCTTGTTATCAATATCTGGTAAGTTCCTGTGCCATCTTTGAGTGGTAGTGCTGGTAAACATTTGGTTTCCTATTTGAAGTGTGGTTTTGTTTTCTAATTTCCAGGTAAAGCTTCTCAGCTTTATTCCCATAATCTACCAGGACTCTTTGATTATGCAAGGCAAATGCAAAAGTTACCTGTTGCTATTCCAGCACATAAACTCCCTGACCGAATACTTCCCAGGTAAATACTTGCCATCGGAATATCTTAATTCTGGGAGTTCAGGATATGCTTGTGAAACTCTGGGAATACCAAATAATGGGGAGCTCTGTTCACAGATTGCTGTGAATAACTCATATGGGCATTAATTAGAAGGTAGACTCCTAAATTTACACTAATCAAGAAGTGAATATACTATTAGAGAAGTGGGGTTTGGTACATCTTACCTTCTTGTCATGAAGCCTCTTGTTTCCGGGCATAGCTCTTTTCAGGTATAGTCTAGTATGGTAAATCCTGCTTTTACTTGATGCTAAGCAACATCTAGGATCAGTATTGTACCTGTGATATTTCAGGCAAGTAGAAATGGTGATCTTACACAAGTTACTCTGAGAACTATCTTTCCATTCTATTTAAAAAAAAAAATAGTAGGGATGTGTGATCTCTTACTGTAAAAGGAATGGGTTCACGGGTTATTTTGAAAGCTGGGAAGAGTAGAACTGGCGTGCAGATTTGACATTCACCATTGGCTAGTCATTTTTGCAGGCCTGTGTAGAAGTTACTTTTGTCCCCAGATGCTTACAGCACATTGTGCATGCAGTCCCTCCAGCCTGATTTACTAACAAGTGCATACAAAGTTCCAGAGACTGGGGACAGTGCTGGCTGCCAAACAAGCCTTAGGAGCCCATACAAGACCTGATTCTCTGCTACTTTTGGTTCTGTTTAATGGCTTATTAACATTTAATTCTTGTATTCAGGAAAGCCTTCTCGTTCAGTCATCTGCAAACATCAAGGTGCAACACTTGTCTGAAAATTGTGTTCTTCCTAGAGGCTGAATTCTAATTACCTAAGGGATAATTTGTGCTTTGAATTGTTGTCTTCTGTGTGCCTGCATCACAGTTTTGCTCCTCCCTCTTGCAAACTAACTTTGGCTAGGTGACTTTGGCTTGAGGGCTGCATCAGCAGTGGCCTAATAACCATAATTATCATAAGGATCATGTGAGGAACACCTTCAGACTACATTCAGCCTGAAATGACGCCTCACCTAAGTTGCAGAGGGCTCAGAATAGTTCTTGTCTGGTCATGTCACTTCCCAAGAAAAATGCAGCACAGCCTGAATGTGCGACTGCCAAGCCACTCCTTCAAAGGCAGGAGAGATTCAGTTAAATAATCTGTTTTGCTGTTTTGGCCTTTGCTGTAAGGCATCAAGGTAGTAACAATTAGGTAGAAGAAGACATTTGGAATATGGGGAAGAGCATAATTTTTTTTTTTCTGCCAGACCACAAAGTGTATTCTTCAGCAAGTTCCTGGATACCATGATGATAAGTGCTCCATGAAAAATGTAGATATCTTTAAAAGTGAAGTTTTTGGTAGAGAAAATGCAAAGCAAAAGAGAATTCAAAGTAATTTGGGAGGTTCGTATATTCATCTGCAAAATCATCTGAGCTCAATTTATAATACTTGGTAGGCAAACATTCAGTAGCAGAAAATATGTCTGTGATCAAGTTTCCTTCCAGTTTCTTTCCCTTGAGTGTCCTTGAGCAATTCCTTTCCATGACTTCTTCCAACCAAAATCTGGGGCCAGTACTCATGCATGCTGCTCAGTCCTGCTGCATTATCAGTCACTTCTGGACAACTCCATTTGAAATGCTATGCAAGTACTTTCCCAGTTCGTAGTTTCAACTGCAGCATCTATCTGTCGCTCCACTTATTCCCACCTTCTCTACAGCATCAAATGAGTTGTTTTTACTGTCAAGGCTGCTGTGGCCAATCTCCACACTTAGTGGTTTAAACCACGCGGCTAGCAGTGAACACCACACAGCTGCTCGCTCACCCTCCCCCTCCTGGGAATGGGAGAGGGAATTAAAGAGGTGAAGGGAAAAGAGATTCGGGTTTAGATAAGAACAATTCTATAACTAAACTACAAAAAAAAATTGAAAATTATAATGATAATGATGATGATAAAGAAATATACAAATTAGTGATACACAGTGCAACTGCTCACCACCCGATGCCCAAGGCCCAGCCTCTTCCTGGCTGATGATTCTGGAGCAGAGGGAGTCTGAAAACCACAATCCTGGAAAAGAGTCCGAGAGAGAGAGAGAGACGACAGAGACAGTGAGAGCTTCCAGAGAGATCCTCATCTATATGCTGGGCATCACATGCATGATATGGAATAGACCACTGGCCAATTTGGTTCCCTAAGGTCGAATCCTAGGCCAGTAATTGGGGCTGTGCTCTTTCCTAGCTTCTTGTGCACCTGCAGACACTGGCAAAGCCCAAGAAACTCAAAAGTCCTTGCCTGTCCTGGTAACAGCTATAAACCATCAGTACATTATCAGTGGCCTTCTCAGCACAAATACAAAGCATAACCTCTTACTAGCTACTATGGAGAATGTTAACTCTGTCTCAGCCAAAACCAGGACATTACTGTCTGTTGTCTTCTAGTCTATATAGAAACATTGATTCCCCCTACCAGCAAATAACAATTGATCTGATAAATTTTTAAGTAATTGTTTTCGTGATTTCTCAGGAAGTGTGTCTTGCACATGAGAAGAAGATCTTGCGAAGCTGCCTTCCAGTCCTCCTTCAGACCTTCTCTTGAAATGCATGCTGTGCTGCCTATGAAAAGTTTTGCAAAATCTGAGCTGTTAGTTTGCAAGGGCTGTGGCCCAGCAGGCTGTCCAGTATGGCATTGTTTCCCACACCCATTGGGTCCATGTGTCTTGTGTTTGAACTATAATGTCCTTGGGACACAAGTGGACTCTATTGTCTGTGTAGTATCCAGCACAAGATCCAATGTTGCAGCATTACAAAAAATTATCATGGGGGTACCAATAGACTACCCAGGCAGGTATATAAATACATATAATTAAATAGCAGGAGATAGTGGTAAACGATGCTTGGAGGTACTGAGCTACCTATTACTCTCCTTTCCTGACTTTTAACTGCATTGATAATGCTGCATAACTGAGCAGCATTTCAGTGCTAACAGAGGGATCACCATGTATGTCCTAGGCATAGCATTTTGAGAAGAAATATACAAATAATTGGGGGGGGGAGGCAAATATAATTTTCCCACCAACAACTCTCTAAAACGCAAATTCATTCAATTGTTTTTAGTTGATCGATAATTCTGTATTTATATCTTGTAGGAAGTTTGCAGTGTCTACAAAAATTCCTGACACTAAATGGTGTCAGAAGTGTTGTGTTGGTAAGTAAAAATCTGCAGAATAAATACCAAGAAGCACTACAAATGGTGACAGTAGTAAGATTACTGAGTCAGATTTAGGAGGTAAAGGGAGAAGAGACTTTTGTAATTATAATGAAAGTATGCATTTGCAGACAGTGAGCTCATTCAGGTTAGTCCTTGTGTTTAAACAGTGAAACCTTTCCCATTTCGCTCGTTATATTTAAAGACAATTCTCAAGAAATGCAGAGAAACAGAATGCATGTCAAATTTAAGCCAGCCTTCATGAAGAACCTAATCTCCATGGATGGAGTGACTTAAGTTAACATCAGGCTAAAGTAGCCTGACTTCCTAGCACAAGTTGCAGTTATGAATATTGGATGATAAAAAGCAAGGAGCATTTTAAATTCTTTGAGGACAGTTGTCTCTGAAGCCTTTACAGTGTGTTCAGAGTGCCAGCTGCTGAAGTGTCAAAGCTGCACTGTGTTAAGACATGTTTTAAAAGGGGGATGGGGCAGATACATTTAAAAAAAAAAAAAAAAGGACAAAAACAGGAAAGATAACTATGGATGATCTCTTGGGGTCAAGCTCTTGTCCCTGGAAATATTTTATCTGGTGTTCCATAATCAAAAGTTTGGTGTGAGGAGTTAGTTCTATTATACAGGAGATTTTCAGAGGCTTGGTGGTAAGTGAGCATTTATCATTCATCCTGACAAAAATCTCCCTGATATTGCTAAGACTTCTGATGTTTGTTACCACTTTTTTGTCCAGCTGTTAAAACTTCCCTTTTTCTGGGATACAAATACTCTAGAGTGTGGTAGGGTGCTAATGATATGTACTGTATTATGTTCAGGCTTTGCCCTAATTGAGGCATCTAGCCAAGCTGTGAATGTTAATGGGTGAAGAAATACAGAATCACAGAATGTTAGAGATTGGAAGGGACCTCGAAAGATCATCTAGTCCAACCCCCCTGCCGGAGCAGGAACACCTAGATATCCGAAGAGGTGGAGTGACAGGGACCAGAATAGGTACAAACGCTGCCTTTCTGACATACAAATTGATTTGGAAGTACATATGTTTTCAGGTCTCTGTTTATGAAATGAGAAACCTGGTGGTGTGCTCTTCTGTAATCTGCCTGGTTCTGTACTAACCAGCACAGAATTTAAGAAGAGTGCCACGGGACTTGGTGTTATGAGGGAGAGTTTGCTGTCCTGGCGTTGAGAGACAGCTTAGCATAATAAGCCTTGAGTCCTTCTTGCACAATAGTGATAATTTGTGATGCCAACAAGGGCACCTGCAAAAGGCAGGTCCAAGAGGAGAAATGATAGATTCCCCTCTCCTGCCCTGCTTCCTATGTGCAGCCTGAGCCTCCGTTCCTGCTGGCAGCTTCAGTATCCCTTTGTCCTGGAGGAAGCAGCAGTGCCCCAGGAGGCAGGAAAAGATGAGAACTTCTGGTCTTGTTTCTCCACCTGACAGGTGTTGGTAATTGCATCATGCATTGTGGTTTCTGCTGCTGAGTTGAGCCTTCCTAAGGGTCACACCAAGCGTTATTTCCTGCAGTTTGCAGTCGTTTTTACTGATGTTAGAATCATAGAATCATTAAGGTTGGAAAAGACCTCAAGGATCCTCAAGTCCAACCATCAACCCAACACCACCCAACCCACTAAACCATGTCCCCAAGCACCACATCTACACGTTTCTTGAACCCCTCCAGGGATGGGGCCTCCACAATTGCCCTGGGCAGCCTGTTCCAATGCCTCATCACTCTTTCAGTGAAAAAATTTGAGTGAGAACGTGGATTAATGAAACTAAGCTTTGATGTTTAAGGTGCCAAGGGATTGCTAGTGGATTTCCTTGGCAGTAAGCTAGCATGAATATATTTCACTTATGTAGATAGTACTGGATTGTAGATGCTCGTTATCTGAACTGTGTTGTGAATTGCCAACAATAGAAGAAGAGCAGGTGAGTGGAAATAGATGATGACACTTCAAAAAGTAACCACAAGCAGCAGTCACTCGCAGAAGCGCTCAGCTCCGGTGCAGGCACGTCCCACAGCGGAGCAGAGGATTGCGGGGTACAAGGAGGTTTCCTGAGCCAGGAGGACACCAGGGAAACCCCAGGGAAGTGCAGAGACCCACCAGGAACCAGCAGCTCTTAGGAGGGCAGCTGATACAGTGTGGGTGGGGCAAAAGCTCATGGAACAGGTTGTCCAGAGGAGTTGGGGATGCCCCATCCCTGGAGCTGTTCATGACTGGTGGAAGGGCAGCCCCTGCTCCATCACGCTCCCTGTCACCATTTTCATAGTGTGGAAGTTGACTTTTCAGGAGCTTCCTTATAAAAACTATTATAGTGGTGGTGGTGGGTATTTTCCAAAAGAGAATGGACTGTTAGGTAGTTGGAAGTTGTTTATAATTTGTATTTGCTTAGTACACTAATATACTCTACTTCTCCTTTTTGGCAGTGAGGAATCCCTACACAGGCCACAAGTACCTTTGTGGAGCACTACAGTCTAGCATTGTTTTGTTAGAATGGGTTGAACCAATGCAAAAATTTATGTTAATCAAGGTAATATTACAATAAGGTGAAATACTCTTGTGTTCAGTTCTGTTTATCTTGTAATGACTTGTTAAGAATAAGTATTAGCTATTTCTGGAGTTATTAGGCTTCTCGCTTGGTTTCTGTTACATTCCATTGAAAACAGCTATTTAAATATGTAATATATATTCACTGACTCAAAATATTTATAGGAATGTTCTTGTTTTTTGTGGTGGACTTCAGAGAAAGAACAAAGCCCTCTCTCCATGAACTTTGCCTTTTAGTTACATGGTAAAAAAACCTCTGGCTGACAGCCCGAGACACGGCAGAGTGGAGTGATCACAAGTAAACAGAGGGCTCGCTCCCACACCAGCGAAAATGTCCCCTTAGTCTATGCTTTGTGACACTGGAGGTGCCCAGAAATGCTTGTTCTCTTCCCATCTGAAGAGCTGGAGCCAGGGTGGACTCGTGTTTGTAGAAAGGCAGCTGCTACAACTTGATCAGGGAAACAAGGCTGAGAGGCTCCATAGGTGGGCAGAGCAACAAGAGGTACAGCACTCTTGTCATCTGCGGGCAGCTGCACGGGACACACGTGGTGAAAGACATCCTAGCTTATTTCAACTGAATCAGCATAAAAAAACCGGGGCTTTTTGTATCTATCAGTTACTCTTACCCGAAGAAGTAAACCATGTTACAAAATGAATGGCATAAAATCTACCATACAGTTTAAATAGCTAATAGCAACTCAAAACTAAACTTTTTTCCCTACTAATATCTATTTTTGTTTCTTAATTTAGCACATAGATTTTCCTGTACCTTGTCCACTGAGATTGTTTGAAATGCTGGTAGTCCCTGAGCAGGAATTCCCTTTAGTTTGTGTCGGTGTCAGTAGAGGAAGAGACTTCAACCAGGTTGTAAAGTTTGAGACTGTCAACCCAAATTCTACCTCTTCGTGGTTTACAGAAACAGGTTTGTGTGCTGTTGTAATTGCATTCAGAAATGTTCCTTGCTCTTCTAATGTAGCTGAAGCACTAGAAAGGTAGTTTCCTCTGAGAAAACTAATGGTTAAATCATTAAGGCTAAGCGATTGGTGTAAATTCTCTGTTTAAAGGGCTCTCTGGTTGTACCTGCTTGCACTTGTACTTTTTTTTTTTTTTTTGGTGTTTCTACTTGTTGAACTGATGATATTTCTTGAAATTTTGAGTACAGGAGAGGATGGAGTTGTTGTTTCTTGCATTGCCATAAATCAGGCTGTACTTGTCTATTACCCACTGTGCAGTCCTTTGCTCTACCCTGGCACCACGACTTCTGTTTCTTTAATAGATTTTACTAGAGTTGCAATCTGAGCAGTTTCTTTCAACATCACTGTAGGTATGGTTTGGTTCTCCTGCAATAAATAAGCCAATGTAGTTAGAAATGGTGTTATCAGCATCCTGCTGAGAGGGGAGCATATTTCTGTTCTTCCAATGTTTATGGGAAGCAAAAGGGATTAGGACCACTGGTAGCAGGAAACCAAGTACCCGTCCATCACTGGTCAGGGCACTATGAGTGAGGAATCTACCATCTGAGCAAGAGGATAAATTATCTTAAAAAGGAAGTAAAAGTAAAAGAAGAGTAAAATGGAAGCAATACTAAGTATTACTGTTTTAGAGTTGCAAGGTTATCCCCTAAAACCTAGAAACAGTAGTGAGCTGGCCCCAGTCATAGCTTGCAGGTTGAGAAGGAGTAAATGGCTTTGTTATTACCGGGCACAGAGCCCATGTTGGGATAATGAATTTGTGCTGCCATAAACACGCGTAGGAGTCCAGCGGATTGTGTACTGTGGAATTCACTAAGAAATACAGTTTCCACTAGGAAGTTGCCTACTGACTTTCTTGCTGCTGAAAAGTGTGTTGGATTTTGACACAGTTTAAAGCTTAGTTAAAAGAAACAAAGTGATCAGTGGATGGCCAATTAATGCACTTAACTACTTCAGAGTTAGTGCATTTTCTTTTCAAACGCATATATCTATTATGTAACTGCCTGACTTCGTTAAAGTCAAAAGCAGCACGCTGAAGAGAAATTCTTTGGCCCATAATGTGTCCTGTTGTCGTTCTTCATTGTCTGCATCTGTGTGTAAACACAAGAATAGTAATCTCTTCTGGGTTCCTTTTTTTTTTTAATGTGGAAAATATAACATCTCATCATGCCTTACAAAAATGCTTCTTTAGCCTCCTTGAATCATTCATGTGTTCCTGTGTTGTGTCTATGTTGTTATTTTCTCCTATTTGTCTGAGTATCATTTAAACCCTCATGTTGTCTTGGTTTATTCCTGTCCCCTGCTGGCAGGAGAGCAATAATGCAATGAAGCAGCTTTTTCAGTGTTTTTTTCAATGAGGAGGATGTGTACCATATGGTCACAAATAGTTTCCATCCAATAGTAGTTTTCATTTTTTGACGTTTGACATTTTTTTGTAAACATCTGTTAAAAGACTTAAAAAAAAAAAATAGCTGGCAGAGACTAACTGCAGGGAGTTTCTCCCCTTGCCGTCCCTCTCCTGTTAGCTTCGGCCAGTGCAGTGTGTGTTTCCACATCACATAATGTGGTTGAGCAGATGTATATCCTCCAGTCCTTCTGTTGCATGCTTTTATCTTGGCTATATCCACCTTTGGTTAAGATCATGCATTATAAATTGGTTTAAGAACCTAAAGGTATCCTTTCCAAGACAAACAGCAAAAAAAGAGATGGAGGGACCATTTCAAGGAACAGATTTCTGCCATCACCCCTGAGGAGTTTTTTGCTTCTCAACAGGCCATGGATTTTATTATTAAACTGAAAACTGCTTATGTATTCTAGGTAACATTCTGTAATTTCTTGTCTCTAATAGATTTAATGAGTTTCTCTTTTCTGTATGAAAGAATGCCTACAGAATCACTGGCAATAATAGTGAATTAGTAAGAGCTGCTTTTTGTGGAATTCTAATGTTAACAAACAGATGGACCAAAGCTACACTTCTCTTTTGAGTTGACCTGTCCACTAATCCCTTGTGGGTCAGATCCCCCTGTTTGCTGTGATGGAGACTGCTGCAGCTGTAACCCAGAAGAGAGGAATGTAACCCTTCTTTTAAGGGTTTGGAGAAGGAAATAATCCCCTATTTTTGGAAGATTTGGTGATGGAATGTCTGAAAATTGCAGCAAGAATTAAGTAGTAATATAAGAGTCCCTAGCCAGTTTTAGAAATAAAGGCAGAAGAAAAATGGAATGAAACAGCACTCAGGTGTAGTGTGGACAGTCTCATACATCTGCCTCTTTTTGCAACAGCAGTATTAAATGGTATCAACAGAGAATAGAGGGAAAACAATGTACACGAGTTTGCTTTTGTGCCATGGCTCAGAAAAGGCTGGATTAAGTCCATACTTTAATATTACAGCTTCAGTTTTCCTGTCACAGTCAACACGTTGGATAAGTGGACATGCCTCTCTCAGAGAAGAGAAATGTCACTGGTAAGATGATTATTTTAAGTAGATAAAAGAAACACTAACACATTAAGTTGTCTCAATCTCTAGAACTTTGGTTTCAAATTTCGTAGTCATTTATGTTATGAATTAACACTGGTGTTTTGGGGTTTTTTTATAGACACTACAGAGACAAGCGTTGTACATGTAACACAACTGGAGAGAGATACCATTCTGGTGTGTCTGGATTGTAAGTTTTAGTATCTACTAAATATATACATGTGCATGTGCATGCATAATCTCTGTCTTCAAATTAGGTCATATATTGAAGATTAATTCTTGGTTGACATATCCTATTTGCTGTCTAGGCTGCATAAAAATAGTGAATCTGCAAGGCAGGTTAAAATCCAGCCGCAAACTGTCATCGGAGCTCACGTTTGACTTTCAGATTGAATCAATAGGTAAGTTGGATTTCATTATTAATACTGAATATCCAGATAGACTAGAGAGCTGGGCAGTCACCAACTGTATGAAACTTAACAAGAGAGAGTGCCAAATTCTGCACCTGGGATGAGGTAATCCTGATTATACATATCAATTCATAGAATCATCGAATTGTTAAGGTTGGAAAAGACCTCAAGGATCATCAAGTCCAACCATCAACCCAACACCACCCAACCCACTAACCCATGTCCCCAAGCACCACATCTACACGTTTCTTGAACCCCTCCAGGGATGGTGACTCCACCACTGCCCTGGGCAGCCTGTTCCAATGCCTGAGCACTCTTTCAGTGAAGAAATTTTTTCTAATATCCAGCCTAAACCTCCCCTGGCACAACTTGAGGCTGTTTCCTCTTGTCCCATCACTTGTTCCTTTAGAGCAGAGCCCAGCACCCCCCTCACTGCACCCTCCTTTCAGGCAGTTGTAGAGAGTGATGAGGTCTCC